ACGATCACACAAAACAGTTGTCACTATAAACTCTGCCGAAACTAGTCCTTACCTTCTGAAGCAACGGTAGTGGGCTTATCGACTCAGGAATGTTAGCTCTATGCGCTCATAGCGGCAAAACGCAATACTACAAAAGCTCTGCCCACAAAAAAATTAATTCGGTTTCTTTTGGGTACCCCATCGTATGGCATTATCTTTTGGGGTAATGTACCCCTTAGTATGAGTACCTTTCAAATTAAAAAACGAATCATAAGAGTTATGTCTGGATCGGGCAAATCTGATTCATGTCGGTATTTGTTCAAAAAATTACAAATATTGCGACTCCAGTCTCAATATATTTTTCCTTACTTCTTTTCGTTATTAAGAATAAAAATTACTTTATATCTACCATGGATATTCATGATATCAATACCCGCTATAATTATAATTTATACTTTTTTTTTTCTTGGCACTACAGCCCCAGTGGGCCTAGGCCTACCTCCATGAACTCCGTTCACTTCGGTTTTTCTAGATCTTACACATATGGTAGGACTCCTTGGGCGAGTGATCAGCTCGTTGCAAGGCCTCTACCTGTAGACAAACACAGAAAAACGCATACAAACATCCATGCCCTGAGTGGGATTCGCACCCACGATCCCGGCTTCCGAGCGAGCGAAGACAGTGCATGCCTTAGACAGCTCGGCTACTGTGACCGGCATAATTTATACTTACCCTCTACAAATTTATCAATAGTACAAAAAGGAGCGCTGTTCTCTGGAAGCAAGATTTATAATCACTTACATTTGAATATTAAATTGTTATCTAAAGACGTTAGGAGGTATGCGATAGCGTAGTGGTTAAGGTACTATGCTACAAGCTGGAAGGTCGCAGGTTCAATTCCTGATGAGGTCACTGGATTTTTTTCAATTGACCTAATCCTTCTGGCCGCACTAGGCCCTGGGGTTTACTCAGCCTCTAACAGAAATGAGTACCAGGAATTAATTAAATAATTTTCCTGGGGAGTGAAGTGCGGCCAGTGCGTAAGGCTGACAACCTTACCACCGTCTTTGAGCCGACTGTCAAGGTAATGTGGGACCCTTAACGTCTCACAACCCTATGGGCCTTCACGGCCTGTTACAGGGATAGCTTTGCTTTACTTTACTTTACTTTATCTAAAGATGTTAATATATTCACATCTTTACTGAGAAGCTATCTCACTGAACATGCATTTTATAGCATGAATACCTTTACATTACTTAGTTAATAGTTGTTATTTACTTTTATTACCATATTTGTATTAATTCTATGTAAAATTTTTTCAGACGGCCACTGTAAGATTTATGACATGAATATGAATTTACTGTTATACTATTGTTTTATATTTATAATGACAGTTTCTATATCCTATAGGTCATCTGACCTTGTATGGATTAATGGAATGTAATTAAATAATAATAATGATATATGAAGCATGGGTTCATCTTATTTGATATATAAAATCACAGAACAGAATGCAACTGAGGTGCTGGAAATCCATAGTCTACAGCCAAAAACTTAAGTATGGTACTACTGACTGTAGTAATTATCAGGGGATATCACTGCTAATAACTTCATGAAAAATTCTATTCAATATTCTTCTCCATATATAGCTGAAATTACTGGGGATCATCAGTGTTGGTTTCGATGTAAAAGATCAACTACTGATCAGATCTTTTGCATTTGTCAGATACCAGAGAAAAAATGGGAATACAAGGAGACAGTACATCAGCTATTCGCAGACTTCAAGAAGACTATAAAAGAACTGACATGAATGATATCTAGGTTAGTAGACATATATACTGCGGTAGTCTTGTTTATAACACCGTGTAGTGTGGTAGGAGGTTACCAACATTTGGAATGAACACAATAAATCTGTGTTCAGGGTAGAAGTGAGTCCAAGCTGGGAAAGTCACAGAATACTGTATTTTGGGAAAGTGGGGGAACAGTTTACAGGTCATAGGAGTGGCCAGTCAGAACCAGGGATGGGGAAGAGGAGATAAGGATAACAGGTTTGACTTTTATGTGCAAATACATCCTAAAATTGAAGAAAAATTACTGGTGATCTACAGAACAAATTTCATATGCACGGTTTTACATTTCATTGCCAGTCATTAAAATAAAATGTAAAGTCTTATCAGATATAACACCATGTGATGGTCTCCAACATTTTGGGGGAATATACAGCTCTCATCTTCAGGACCAAAGAGTAAGCTGGGCATGAAACCAGCAAGCAGAGACATTCCAGAAGACAGAACTCTTCATAGCCACTGCTGTGAGAACCTCAAATCCAGTAATACAGTTTGGTGTCATACAAATTTTGGTAGTTTAACATATAAAAAGGTAAAGCTATCCCTGTAGCAGGCTGTGGAGGCCCATAAAGTTGTGAGAGGTTGAGGCTCCCACATTTTCTAGACAATCCACTCACAGATGGCAATGAGGTTGTCAGCCTTATGCACCAGCCATCCTTCATCTGCAGGAAGATTCCTGGTACTCATGTCTGTTTGAGGCTGAGTTGACCCCAGGACCATAGTGCAGCTGGAAGGATTAGGTCAATTGAAAAAAAAATCCACGTCACTGGGACTTGAACCTGTGACCTTCCGGCTTGTAGCACAGTGCCTCAACAAACTACAAAAAATGTGTTTTAAGAGTTTAATATTTGATATGTGTTATTCAGACCTTGGCATACCTTTAAATCATCTCCTTTAAGATCTATGAACATCCGTAACCCTAAATCAAGGCATTCCTTCACAACATCTTCAAAGAGAGGAATTCTTTCACCACCATATTTGTGTCTGTCATAAAAAAAAAAGAAGAAGAGAGAAGTTACTTTCACATAAATAATTCCATAACACTTATCATAAACTTAACATCATGGCTACATTAAAGCAAAATGAAAATACCTCATTGGATGTTTTTCTGATATGTCTAGTTGTTTAACTTCTTCCCATGTCATACTGTTGATTCTGCCTGTAGCTTCTGTCATTCTGTCTACAGTGTCATCATGAAATACTATTGGTACATTGTCTTTGGTAAGTGTAACATCAAATTCCACTGCGGTCATACCCTTCTCTTTGGCCTGAAGAGCATCAAAAATACACTATGATTTATCACCATCATCTACTTTAAAAGACATACAGTGGAACCTCGCTTAATGAGCATAATTCGTTCCAGAATCTTACTCGTAATGTGAAACGCTCATTAAGCAAAACAATTTTTCCCATATAAATTGATGTAAAATACAATAATGTGTTCCATGCCGAAAAAAATACTCAAAAAATTTATTAAAAATTATTCAAAGAAAATTATATATACATTGTTCAGGAGCGTGAATCATCATCATCGTCTTTTCTTCTATGAGGAATGAACCAACCTGGAAAGCGAATTCGATTTGCAGAAAACAAAACAAAATCAAAATAATTAGTACACTATTTATGATACATATCTAATTCTTTTTTACTAGAGACACTTCAAAATTTGGTGAAAATGTGACACAGCATTATCACTAAATAAATTTGTAGCGCGCATAGCCACTGCCTTATTAGGGTGATGCTTCTCAATGTACGATGCAACAGTTTCCCATGCTTTCAGCATTTCTCTTATTGCGCCAGAAGATTGTTGCTTTGCTGTTACCTCCTCCTACTCCTCCTTTGACAAACTCTCCTCCACAACTTCTTGCTGTGAAACACAATGCAACTCCAAATCGTGCAAATCGTTGATGTAGACTGATTGTATGTGCGTGCTAGATCAGCCACGCTCACACCTCATTCTCGCTTTTCAATGATTTTACATTTCATTTCTACGGTTATTTTTATTCTGTTATGGCTGTCTTTTTGCGGCTTTTTCTTCGGGGACATTTTTGCAAGGGTTATTAAACTTTGCACAAAAAAGTCCCAACTAATATGTCTGAACACAAGTTTGGAAAAATGTGTGATCACAAGCGACACTAAGATGCTAGCGGAACGAGTGCTAAACACAGACTGATGTAGCAAGCGCACAATCCGGGACTTCCCCTCTTGTTACTCATTATGCGAATTACTCCTTATGAGAGGTGCTCATTAAGTGCGGTTCCACTGTGCTAAGAAATCTTATCAATTTAATTATAATAATAATAACAGCAATTTATAATAGCACAAAACAGAGCTGAGACAGCTTAGTTTGTATAGCGACTGGCTATGGGCTGGACGACTGAGGGGTCGGAGTTTGAGTTCTGGTACGGTCAAGAATTTTCTCTTCTCCAAGTCTTCCAGACCGGCTCTGGGGTTCACCCAACCTCCTATTCAATGGGTACCAGAGGATCTTAGCCTGGAAGTAAAGCAGCCAAGGCATGAAGGTGACCACTCACCTCCACCTAGTGCCAAGGCCAAGAATGGTGGAGCTATACCTTCAATCCCCCATATGTTTTCAAGGTGAGTTTCTTAATTAATTAAGCATTAGGAAAACTTTACCGTTACATTGTTGAATAACACATTTGTAATATATCTGAGTATTGTACACTACAACATAGGAATAGCATAGTCAGTATAGCGACTGGCTATGGGGTGGACGACCGAGAGGTTGGAGTTCAAGTCCTTGTTGGGTCAAGAATTTTCTCTTCGCCACGTCATCCAGACTGGCTCCACCCAACCACCTATCCAATGGGTACCGGGGGCTCCTTCCCTGGGGGTAAAGCGGCCAAAATATGAAGCTGACCACTCACCTTCAGCTAGTGCCGAGGTCAAGAAACTGGATCTACACATCCACTCCCCAATACATCTTCATGGCATAATGCTTAATTAGTCAAGCAAAAGGGAGAACTTTACACAAGGAGATGTACTCAAAGATATGAATGACATTAACTGAAATAAGTTTTACAATAGATTTAACCATGAAATGTGAGATTTGACAGTTATCAAAGTAGTTAACATGAAGATTATGGTCATCTGGGATGTAATTGCTTGTAGTTTGGTACTCAGGTACCAAACTGGATGGCATTACACCCGTGAAGAGTTTAACACTGATATTCTAACTTCAGTATTTCTCTTTAACACATAGTGAAACTGAGTTCTGAAGTTTTAATGCAAAACTGCTATAGACGGCACCCATGTAAATATTCCACTGAATTTAGACTGTATGGTGGCCATGCCACAGGTCAAGAGGTCAGTCGCTGGCTTCCCACCGCGGCGGCCTGGGTTGGATCCCGGGTCTGGTCAAGTGGGATTTGTGGTGGACAAAGTGGCACTGGGGCAGGTTTTCTCCGAGTACTTCGGTTTCCCCTGCCAATCTGCATTCCACCAATTGCTCCACAATCACCTTCACCTATTATCTGGGGCTGGTACATTAGGTCAGAAGTGGCTAGGACACATGCATGAATGTCTTTCTCTCTTGATAATACAAGCAATTTTAACATTAAACTGTTAATCCTGACGGTTTTCTTGGACCGATACTGGGGAAGTGGTGTTTGCATAATCATCTCATTTAAACTTGTTTACTTGCATCGTACCTGTCTAAAAGCGCTTATGCTGTTTTCTGGAGCATCTAATGCAGCTCCCCTGTGCGCAATGCTTCTCATTATGTATATTGCCTCTTCACTGTCCTTCTTACTGTCATCACGTTCTTGCAGCAGAGGATCTTGACCAAGTATCTCTTCCACTGTGGCAGGATCTGGAGCTGGTAATTTTCCAATGTGGACTAGAATAAACAGCAGAAGAGCTCCAATTCCAGCCGTAGGAACGGCACAGCATACTATTTCAGACGAGTACAACCAAAACCCATAAATATAAAACGAAGCTTTCATACAAGCCCATATAACATTCGCAGCACTAACCATTGCTGTTTACCAAACAGCCTGGAACGTCCCCAACAAAACAACAATGGTATTACCGATGTGTTACGGCGAGATGAAGAGCATTGCCAACTTCTGTGATTACAATGTCCCTTTTTCAAGCATCTGACATTTTCTAGTTGTGATGGGAATGAGGCTCTGGAAACGTAAGTCTGTAACGTCCACAATGACCTTCCGCCTCGAGGAATCTACAAGATTGACGCTCCAGTGACGCAACGTTCCTCAAACTGTGGTGCGTGGCAATGTGCGCTTGAAACTACATTACATACATCTTACAAGTCTGTCTACAGCGATATGTTGTCGTATAGCCCGTTGAAAGTCACTGACGTTTCGGAAGAACATGTCGCCTCCATCTTCAAGGTCGAATAATAAAGCGAGCAAGAAACCAGTGTGAAAACAGGTGGCAAACAGAGCCCCGCAAGATTTGTGCCTTTCCCAATAATGGCATCATTTTACGTGCAACAAAGCACTGAAAGTATGTAATTGTTACATACTTCCTACTTTAGCATTAAGCGAAAATATCTGAAATTGTTCTATGATAATTTAATAAAACATACAATATTATTTGTACTGTCGCTCTCACGCAGCTGAAGCTAGGTCCATTTTCAAAATAATTTATTATCGATTGTATAATATGAAACGATTGTGGCACCCAATTTATAGATAGTACTCATAAGGCTTAGTGACCTTTATATCTTCTGCGTTAATGAAAGGGGAACGTTAAACCCAAACTCAATTAACAGAGACAAACCGGAGGTCAATTTTTTTAAAATATAAAGTGTCTTAATACTAACGAGGAATTAGTACGTAGAAATATAATAAATTGTACATGCAGAATACGTATAAGGAATATTGGAAAATGTTTAGATTAAATCAAGCGCAAATGAGAAAATAAGGCGGGGAAAAATAGTAAACTGTAGATACTAAAGTAAATGTAAAGATTAAACTGTAGACGTGGAAGAATCACTTAGATTTCTTATCGATAACAGCAACCAGTAAGCGACTACAATTAGGAATCACAACATGGCGTAGCACAGGGGCAATTTAACCTTATTCTTATATATAAATGTGTGTCTTCCTTCTCTCTTTGTTTCATTTTATGTTAGTGTCAGTCCTCACACGACTCAAATAGCTTCGTCATGCGCCGACTTTTACTGGTAAACGTAACGGGTTGCATAACCCTCACAAGAACATTTCTTTATGTCGGATGTTTATTCGTGTGAAAGTAATTACATGTATTACTCTTGTTTTGTAGGTTAACGTATTTCATTCTTAACAAGTTTTGTCGAGTCATCCAGGAAGTAGAGGACACCTTCTGCCTTAGAGTAAGCCTGCTGATTTATTTCAGTGACAACTGCATTAGAAAGCTGCTACAATGCATCCACATTCAGACCTAATCGCTGAAATTTGAACGTACAGATAGCAAATATTTCACCCATGAGCGGAAATCGCGCTTCTGTATTCATGCAGTGGAACTGAGAAACCTATCATTGAACTCTAAGCGTGGAGAATTTTATTACTCACTTTTCGTTTGCTCGTCTATTTCTCCCTGTTACTGTGCAAGACTGACACAAGCGATAATGCTTCTCACATATATTCTGGAGGCAACCGTTTCGATTCTCCGTCGGGGTACAGTCTACCCTGACTGAGAATTTTCGTGATTTTTACGCAGTTATTTCTGGCAAATGTTGGAATAACACATCAAACCAGGCCATCATCGCTTCCATCAAAGTCCATTCCTATAAATTAATCATTAATTATCTTATTCGACGATGAATATACTGAACTACTGACAGCGTCATAAATGAAAAAAGGTAAAATCTCTCTTTGTATTTCAGGAGTGCTGCCAACATATCACCTCTGTCTTGAAGGTCGAAAAGAATAAGGCGAGCGGGGAACTCCCAGAAGGCGGCGGTAAGCAGTTCCCATACTCTTTGCATTCTGTGATCCATTGTTATGGCCATAAAACCCAAGGCCAAATATAAATTTCGCTTGGACGCCATGTTGTTTTATATCGTACAGTAATCAACAGAAGTCCTTTACTTTTCCAAGATCTCTGTCACAGGAAGTTTCAGCACCATATTTCAAGTGGCCTTATTGTGAACCTCTCATCTTCGTTCCCTTTATTCCAACCTGTCTCTATTTTACGGATTGATAAAAGGTATAAATAGGTAAAGTTATCCCTGTAAGAGGCCGTGTAGGCCCATAGGGTTGTGAAACGTCGAGGCTCCCACATGTTCTCTAGACAGTCGACTCACAGAAGGCGGGTAGGTTTGTCAACCTTACAGGCCGGCCGGCCGGCCTTTATCCCCAGAAAGATTCCTAGTACTCAGTTCTGTAAGAGGCGGAGTCGACCGCATGGTCATAGTGCGGCTGAAAGGATTAGGTAAATTGAAAAATTTCAGCGACTTCATCAGGAATCGAACTGCGAACTGATGAGATGGTCAGGACATGCAACACGAATAGGGAGAAGAGGAATGTATATAGGATATTGATGGAAAAACCAGAGGGAAGGAGACCACTAGGAAGACCATGACGTAGATGCGTGAATAATATTAAATTGGTTCTTAGTGAGATAGGATGGGGTGGAATGGACTTGACTGGTCTGTCTCAGGAAAGGGACAAGTGTAGGGCTCTTGTGAACACGGTATGAACCTTCGGATTCCATAAAATTTTGGGGAGTTCTTGAGTAACTGCACAACTGGCGGGTTCTCAAGAAGGGCTCAGCTCCACGAAGTTAGTTGGTCAGTCAGTCAGTCAGCCAGTCAGTCTCCTGCTGCCTCCCATTCAGAAATTCGAAACTTTTCCTCTTTCACTTAGTCAGATAGACGCAGTCGGAACAACTTTCGAAATCTCACAGACATTTCGGAGGACCCCGAGGTCGCCATGTCCTGAGGTCACGACGTAGCTGACACGAGAACCATCAATAAACTGATTCGTGCCGAAGTCGTGCAATTAACAAGGGAACATTCTTTCAGTTCCGCGACATTCCGCGTTGACCTTTTACATTTCTATAAATATTGATCAGCGTACGTAGATATGAATATTCAGTTACTTTTCCTATTAATCTAATTTATTGATTGAATTTAATATTATCCTCCCACCTATGTTGAGGTCGTCCTAGGGATTTCTTTACTTCTGGACATTACACCAAAAACGTTTATGCATTTCCTTTCTCTCCCGAACGTGCAACGTGTCCTGTCCATCGCATCCTCCTTGATTTTATCATTCTAATTATATTTCGAGAAATACAATTTATGGAGCTCCTCATTATGCAATTTTCTCGAACCTCCATTATTTTCTCCCTCTTGGATCCAAACATTCTCCTCTGCACCCTGTTCTCAAGTACCCTCTTTTTATGTTCTTCCCCTAACATCAAGAACGCAGTTTCACATCCATACAGAACTAAGGGAAAACTAGTAATTTAATATGTTAATCTTTACGGTTTTCCAGAGTGGGGTTTGGACATGGGATCAAAATTACTACCGTAAAAAGCGGCTTGTTACGAAATGTTACACAGAAGAATTACCATCACGCTCGGTTTCACGTACATTGAACTCTGAAGTCTGTCAATAGGCTGGCTACATTCACCTTTACATATGTACATCTGACATCACATGTCAGGTATGCGTAAGGTCTGACATTTAAGAAAGTTCATGGATGCACGTTGTTAGTACCACAATGTGTTTACAAGCTTGACTTCCTTGTTCCCATATTGTGGAGAAAGTTTTGTCGTCATATGCAGACAGTACAGAGCAAACTGCGCTATTTTCCTATGCATGTTCCAAGGTGAAAGAAAAAAACTATCCCTGTAACAGGCCGTGGAGGCCCATGGGGTTGTGGGAGGTCGATGCTCCCACATTTTCAAGACAATCGGCTCACAAATGACGGTAAGTTTGTCAGTCTTAAGCGCCGGCCGTTCTTTAACCCCCAGGAAGATTCCTGGTACTCATTTCTGTTAGAGGCTGAGTCGACCCCAGGCCCATAGTGCGACTGGAAGGATTAGGTAAATTGAAAAAAATTCAGTTACATCATTGGGAATCGAACCCGCGACCTTCCGGCTTGTAGCATAATGCCCTTCAACTTATTGAATTATCATCGGACAAAGGACTGGAAAGTACTTTTAATACTACGAGCAATTCGAAATTCTGGATAAGAATGAAAAATGAATATCCAAGTTTACATGAAATAGTAGTGAGGTTTCTTCTTTGTTTTTCCACCACATATCTTTGTGAAGCTGCATTTTCTGCCATGACTGTGCTTAAAACGAAACAGAGGGACTGCCTGCAACTTTCTGACTGTCTCCGTTTGGCTCTCACTTCAATTCATTCCAGAATTAATAAGCTAACGGACGGAAAACAGAAACAGAAGTCTCACTAGCCTAACTAAAACCTTCCAAACTCAGTTGTGATAAATGAAACTATGTTTAACTTTCCAATAACTTATAATTGCTGTGTTAAAGTGCTGCGTCTTTAAAATCAAAACATTAATTAGTGTTGGAAGTAGTGTTTAGAATTGAGAGATTCATTCATTTTTATTTGTCAAATTACATACTTTACATATATAATTATTTGGCGTGTGTACGTGATAATAAGTGTTTCACCGGCAAGTAGACAGCCTTCTGCTTCTTCCCCTACTCAGCTGACTTCTATGGTGAGTTACAATGCATAAATATTTTTCTCACTGCCGTTTTCTTCAAACCAACATCATTAAAATCAATTTAATAATACAATAATCAATTTTACGCTGAATAACATAAGTTTTTGGTGATCATCATGGGATATGTCAATGCAAATTAACACAAATTAATTTAATGATGTTGGTCTGAGGAAACTACAAAATGCTACGAGATTTCATTAGTCCAGTGATTGATAACTAATTTAAATGTAATTTTATATTTGTCAACATGCGACATCGTATACATAAGTGTACTAATACGCTTTATGATTATGTTATAATTAATTACTAATATTACGTTAGCTTAATGCACGAACTTTAACAAAACTGGAAAGGTATTTACGAGTAAATCTGTTGGGATTGGGTCCTCGTCTTATAAAGAAAGAACTTACTGGCCGCGGTCTCATAAACGTTGAAAACCACTGCTCTAAATTTACTCCTAAATACCTTTCCAGTTTTGTTAAAGTTCATGCATTAAGCTAATTATAAAATATTTATTAATGAAAAATGCTTAGAAAATGAAAATGACAAATTCCAGAAGAGCCTCTCGCGGCCCAGTATAATTGATGTCAGGGCCCACTACTGGGCCCCGGCCCGGCGGTTGAGAAGCACTGATCTAGAGCGTCCAGACAGGCTTGGGGTGGGGGGCCTTCCAGCCTCCTATACAGTGGGTACCGATGGCTCATTTCTTTGGGGGTAAAGCGATTGGGCCTCAAGCGGACCGCGGAAGTAAAAAATGGTGGCGCTATGCCGCCACTTCTCCACGTACCTCCATGGCGTGGTGCTTAGTTACTTAAAACACAGGGGTGACTATATAACACACAAGCAAGGGGCATACGATATTACAGATTGCAGACGTAGCAAAACAACGGGCTAAAGAACAGAAAAACAAGCTGCTGAAACAAACCTTCTGGAATACTCACATAACCCTAAACAAGTGGACGACGCCCCTAATGAAGTGGAGTAGGATTTTTCGAAAAATTTTAATAGAACATTTTAATGGATTTTAATTAATTATTTTAATGTTATTTTTAAGTGGACTGCAACGCGCGATTTTAGCGTACGTCAGTGCACTGTAACAGTCTGGATGCATTAAGCCACCTGAAGATGGCCATCTATGGCCGAAACATGTGTTAAGTGTTAAATGGTGATTAAACAATTGTTGCAATATTGACTGACTGTGGATACAAAGACGTTTAATTAAAGATTTGCAACAGAATGCTGAAATACAGAATTTATAAAATGTTATCAAATTCTTGTGTAACTGGGCCCGTGCGTAATGGCAGCTCAATGTAGCTTGTCAGTTATGATTCCTACACACCAGTAAACATATTGTGACGATTGGCAGAACTGGGACGGATATCACGGAGCGTCACGTAGTCACGGACGTCACGGAGTCTGATTGGTGTTGGAATAGTATTGGTCAACAGGGTTAGCCAATGACTAAGATGTACTCTAAAAAGGCGCGAATGACAGTCTAGTGCTGTGTTTGTGTGGTTGTCGATAGACGTTTGGGAGTTGTGAAGCAATCCGTGGGTTATTCCCAGATTGTGAAGGTGTCATTAGATTGGAAGAGTCATTCAGAGTTGGTAATAATAATCAGTGGATTAGATTTTCCGATGGAACTTTGAAAGCTATGATTTACTTCTTTCAGATTTAGTGGTTTTTTTATTATAAAAATGTGTTATATTTTCATTAGATATAACCCAAAATATTTAATTATGGACGTTACGCTGGACCCCAAAGAAGTAGATTTTGAACCTAACCTAAGTTTCAGAAGAAGATTACGTGCAGGTATGCCCCCCCCGCCCACGTAATTGTGTGTGTCTTTTGTAATATTATTTCTCTACGTCTCTGCGGTTATGATTAGCCAGATAAAAATATTAACCGACCAGAGGGTGGGATATGATTATACTGCCAATGTTTTGTTGACATTGTAGTACAGAATATGTTAAGCAAGAGCTTTAGTTACAGGTTTAGTATGGAACAACAGAATTTGCGTGTGAGACAGTTTGTATGGCACATGGAGTGTAAGGAGTCTCTACAGGGCAGGTTCAGGGGTGGTCCTGAACCATCAAGTGATTATACATTTCTCTATAGGGAAAGAAATCCTGGTACTCAATTATGTTAGAGGGTGAGTCAGCCCCAGGAAGGATTACGTCAATTGAAAAAATCCAGTGACCTCATTCAGACTTTAACCCACTTTCTTGGAATATTCTTGGGGTTAAAAGGCGGCTGGCACATAAGGCTGACAACCTTGCCACCATCTATGAGTTGATTGTCTAGAAAATGTGGAAACCTCAACATCTCAAACCCCTATGGGCCTCCACAGCCTGTTACAGCGATACCTTTACATTTACTTTTTTTATGGGTAAAAATGAGGATCGTGAATTAGGGACACTATTTTTTGTACCTAAAGAGAATCACATTGGCAGTTAAGAGGGTGGGGTTTGTTAGTGATAAAGTGACATATATAACACTTAAGAGGCTACTCGTATAATACCGTCGTTCTCAGTGTTAATGCCTCAACGGAGGATAAACTGATGATAAGAACAGCTTCTATGAGCAAATAGAATGTGTATTCTGTAAATTCATAAATACTACATGAAAATATTAGACAAAATTAAAGGGGAACATCAGCGTGGGATTCACTGTGACAGCTTCACTACTGATCACAATTTTTCCCCCACTCATCAAATACTGGGAAAGAATAAGGAATGCAATGAGACAGTGCATCAGCCATTCATAAACTTCAATAAAGCCTGTTATTCACTTAGAAAGGATGTATTCTAATTCAGTTTGAGGTACCCAGGAAACTGGTTAGGCTTATTAGAATTTGATAAATGAAACATTTGTGAAGTCTCTATGTGTGAGCAGTTTTTGATATGCTTCCTATTCAGAATTGTCTAAAAGAAGGAGATGCTTTATTGCCGCTGCTTTTCAATGTTGCTTTAGAATATGCCATTAGGAAGGTCCATGAAAACCAAGTGGGACAGAAATTAAATGGTGGACATCACCTTCTGGTATATGCTGATGTAATCTATTGGGACATAGTATAAATACCATAAAGAGAAGCAAAATCTCCAACTGACACTAGTAAGAAGGATGATCACACAGTAGACAGAGAAAAGTAAGTATATGTTGATGTCCCACCACTAGAATGCAGGGCAAAATAATTGTATGAAGATAGCTAATAGATTCTCTCAAAATGTAGCAAAGGTCAAATATTTGGTAATAGTGGTAACAGATCAAAATTGGGTTTAAAAAGAAATTAAGAGCAGATTGAATTTGGGTAATGTTTGCTGCCATTCAGTTAAGAAACTTTTGTCTTTTCATCTGCTCTCTAAAAATGTAAAAATTAACACATACAAAACTAATTTTGCTTGTGATTTTGTATTGGTATGAAACTTTATGTCTGACATTAAGAGGAGGTATTTGAGAACAGGGTGCTGAGGAGAATTTGTACACTGAAGAGTGATGAAAATATAGGAGTTTAAAGAAATCTACATTATGAGGGGCTTCGTAACTCATACTCTTTGCCAAGTACAAGAAGAATTATGAAGTTATGGATTATGAGATGGGCAGGGTATGTAGCATGGATGAGTGAAAGAGAGGAATGCATATTGGATTTTGGTTGAAAACTCAGAAGGAAAGACACCACTAGGAAGACCCAACTATAGGTGGGATAGTAATGCTAAAATGGGTCTTAGAGGAATAAGATGGGGTAGTGTGGACTTTGTTCAACTGCCACAGGATAGGGACCAGTGGAGGGCTCTTGTGAACACAGTCTTGAATCTGGGAGTTCTGTAAGATGTTGGGAAATTCTTGTGTAGCTAAGCAGCTTGGTTTCTCAAGACTGGCTTGGCTCTGTTGGAGTGAGTGAGTGATTTAGTTAGAAAAAATTTACCAGTGTCCCACTGTTTCTGGTACTGCCATCCACATTCCTTCTTAAGAATTTTGACACTTCTGGCATTATGTTTGTAGTCCTTGCCTCATACTGTTGTGAGCAACAGCATTTTAAACAGATCTGTCACCACATTTTGAAGGTTTGTTTGATAAGTACCAATGTTTTAGAGGACAGAATATGTAGGCAGCAGGGCCCCCCTCCAAAAAAAAAAAGTTTGTATCTATTGCAAAACCACAGAATGTTATGCTCCATAAGACTGATCTTCATATTTACTGCCATGTGAACATGAAATCTTGCACAAATTTTTTGATGTTGTGCCAGCCAATTGATATGAAATAGTTCTGAGCTCATCCCATTAGTGGCGTACAAGTTCATCAGGAGTTCTTAACCAAATAACTTGGGCACTTAATTGGTTGTATATTGAGATCTTAATGTTTATTATCTAGTGAAAAGTTCCATTAGTTACAGGGAACATTGCTGTTAAAAGCCTTCAGTTGTATGCTACCTGAAAGTTTTTTAGCTGTGATGCAGAATAACTGAAAGAAGTAAACTAATAGTATTTTTATGGATCTAAGCAGGCACGATTCTTTTATATTCAGCCTGTAGTGAGTGATATTGAAATAGTTTCATGGATCAATAAAAAATCCATAATTTTCCCAAATGTAAACATAGGATAATAAAGAGAGGGACAACTGATCAGACTGAAAACCATCAACATAGAAATTTGGTCCAGTCTTCAATGGTATAAATTTTGGTAACAAATTTAATGCTCCATGTAATTAATATCTGATACTAGTAATATTATATTGTAGCATCCGGTTGCACTTTCCACTTAGTATCATTCATTTCCACAGTCTCACATGCAACATTAGTGTTCTATAAAACTTATTAAGGATATTCACTTTAAAATGTTATACCACATGTTTCGACCAATATGGTGATCATCAGGTGTTAAAATTACGGATGAGGAAGCTTCTGTTTTCTGTATCATTGCTTAGGTTGTTAATATATAGCCCCCCTTAATGCACATGTGTGTTTAAGCTGGTGAGTTGTGTCTCTACCTGTTGTTATTATGTTGCATATCTTATTTTCAAATTCATTTGATGCACCTAATGTTCACATTGGTCGAAACATGTAGTGTTAAACTATAAAGTGGATGTTATATTTCAGCATCCTGTTGCATTGTGGCATTTTTAGATCTTAAGTATACCGTCTATAATGCAACATTAACCTTATGTAAAAGACACAAAAGGTATACAAGGTTTGTCCGGAAAGTAATGCGATTAAGTCCGTAAAAAGAACTTTATTCAAGATCCCGTTACAAACGTTTAAATTTCTTCAAAGTACTCCCCTTGGGCATCCACACACTTTTGCCAGTGACTTTTCCATGCACAGTATGCATCCTGGAAGGCGTCAACAGAGACCTCGTTTAGAGCCTTTGTCACCGCGGTTTTGATCACTTCAGTGGTTCCAAAATGGGTTTCTTTCAGGGCGGTCTTGATCCTCGGGAACAAAAAGAAGTCCGCTGGAGCCAGGTCAGGACTGTAGCAGGGCTGGGGCAACGTTGCCAAGCTGTGCTTGGCCAAAAACTCCTGGACGCGCAGAGCGGTGTGGCTGGTAGTGTTGTCCTGTTGCAGCTGCCAGGTAGTGGTGATCTCGTTTCGAGTGCGGACGACCCTGTTTCTTAATCTGTTGAGCACTTCCACGTAGTAGGTAGCATTGACTGTCTGCCCTTGGGGTATGAATTCTTTGTGGACCACACCCTTGGCGTCGAAGAAGACAGTACACTAAAAGTGCTTGTTAAATACTTTAAAATGTCATTAAACTTATGCATTCATTCCTTGCTGAAACATGTTTTGGCCACAGGTCTCCACAGCATGGTACAGGTACACTTTGACATCAAGAAAGAAATGGGGAAGTTTTTATCATAAGACCTCTTGGCTGGGAGGAAACGTTAGGTGGTGCTGGTGCTGATAATAGTGTTGAATACAGGTTGTAGTATAATGTTGTTTCATTACAGATAAACTCGTCAGGATGGGAAAGTCGTCTCTTGGGAAACGCAAGACATCTGTTCTTCCTATTCGACTGTCATCTTTAGGAAACATGGAAATTCCTGAAGGAGGCAACACTCAACGGTAAGCTGAATCTCTTAAATATTGTTATTACACAGATGAGTGAAAAGAATTTCCATATATGGCCTACCTTCCTTTATTTCAGAGGTCGAAGTTCTGTAAAGAAATCACTTATACCAAGATCATCAAGGAACAGAACACGATCATCCTCTCCAGGCAAGGATGCTGTCAAACATGCCTCATCTGCAACTTCCTTGAAGCGTAGCCGGAGTAATACAAATCTGCAATACTTAGGAATAGGAACCCCCATGACTCCAATGTACTTGTTTGGCGGTATTCCTGGAACTGCTCAGTCATCTAGGTAGGCATCCAGCTTTATAGCTTCATATTAGGACTGCATAGAATGCACTGAGAATTTTAACACATTCACTGCCTATGAAAGCAACCACCATTGAATCAAGCACTCTCTCCTAGTGGTAAGGGAGAATTCAAGAATCATTAGATCAGGTGTGAAGGTATGTCTTTCTGCAAGAGATGACATGTGCATATCACCAGAAAGTTGCATGTATTCTAATCACAGCATTTAGAACTAGCCTGTAATTTAGTGTACATATATATGAGTTGGTTTGACTTTAGATATTTATGCACTATGTGTTTCAAGCAAGTGTGATACAAATCAACCTGTTTATTCTTGTGCATGTGTGCATGCAGTGTGGGGGAAACGTGGGAGCACACAGATTGTGGATGGATGTGATTGGAACTTGTGGGCATGCAGAGAATTGTAGGTAGAACATGGCCAAGATTTATGGGTGCACAGCAACTTGTGATTGAGATTTCTGGCTGTAAAAGATTGCTCTTAAGAAACATTTGTTTGCAGATAAGGGAGGTTATATAAGACAGAGGTAAAGCTATCCCTGTAACAGGCTGTGGAGGCCCATATAGTTGTGAGATGTCAAGGCTCTCATATTTTCTTGACAATCAGCTCACAGTTGGTGGTGAGGTTGTTAGCCTTACGTTCTTGCCGCCCTTTACCCCCAGGAAGATTCCTGGTACTCATTTCTGTTAGAAGCTGAGTCGACTCCAGGACCATAGTGGGGCTAGGAGGGTAATGTCAATTGAAAAATTTAATGACCCCCATCGGGAATTGAACCCACGGCCTTCTGGCTTGTAGCATAGTGCCTCAACCAATTACAGTACCCCTTGAGAGGTTATATAAGTATGACAAAATCTTATAACTCTCAGGTAATGGTAAGGATGTCAAGAATATTCATTATTTTGGTATAACCAAGATAACTAAATGGGGTTTTTCCCCCTTATGTCAGAAATGGATCCAGTTCCTTAAACACCGCTTATATGTAATACACCCTGGACAGTGGACAGTGTCCACCTAATATTTGTACAATATGAAGAACTGCTGCAGTTCTTTCAACTTTTTATCAGCTGTACTGAGTTCAAGGACACAATCTAATACAGCCAATATTACAGAGGAATTTTAATGTTATTCTCTTTCTCCCTCAGAAGTTCCACATTTGGTTCAGGTGTCTGTGGACAATCTTCCAAGCCAGTATTAAAAGACCGAAGGCCCTTATCTGACAAACAGTTCCAAAATGCAGCACTGCAGAAGGTACATTTTTCATTTTTTATTCTTTTGCCATTCTTTTATACAAATGGACACAGCGTTTCTTCAGAACTTTTACAGCAATTAATTTATGCTTCAAAAGGTTACAGCTGTTTATTCTAATAACATGTATCCTTAGGTAATTGGTTGGTGTATGTGAACATCAGTCTATTGGGCTGCAGTCATACACTGGTGGGCCTGCCTGGTGTAAATGATGAATCTGTGGGTTTTTCATTAACTTAATTTTTTGAACACTTGGATACCTGCTGACTTCAAGGAAAATACACTGTAACAGAGACTTAATCCACTCACTCACTCACTCATGGAGCTGAGTCCTTTATTTATTTATTTCGTCTCTATAGATCATTGTTACATGATATAGGACAAGTCAGTTACTCTACATTGGCTGATTACAATAAGAGAATAAAGTTACAATACTTGAAATTGTTTGCAGTAGATTACAGTAGATTACAATAGTTAAGATTACATATAGTGTGAGGTGGAATCCCTATTAGGTCCCCTCGGCACGTCGGCTTTCATATGTCCTATTGTACCTGAACTGGTGATTGGCAGGATTGGCAGGGGAAACCGAAGTACTTGGGGAAAACCTGCCCCAGTGCCACTTTGTCCATCACAAATTCCACTTGTCTAGACCACAGCGGTGGGAAGCCAGCGACTAACTGCTTAAATTATGGCGCGGCCTTTGAGATAATATTAGTGAATTTGGTGTTAGCATTGGTATAATGTTTCACTGTAGACTCTACACTGCACCATCTCATTACATCTGTTATCCCTTCCTGGTGCAGCTTCTTGGCATTTGCAATCTCTCCAGAATAGCCCATTCAGGTACATCTCCGACTGTGTTATCTTGGTTGCTGGAAGAAAGAAAGGAAAACTGTGCAGTAGGGATTCCCAAAACCGATTATTCATGAATTATGTGATTATAATTGATTAGTGTTTGTCTCACACGAGAGAAACCATCCACTTTATAAAAACAATGATTGAGTAGGTAAGTTTTCAAAGCTTTTTTGAACTTATATAGTACCGGTATTTCTTTACTATATCGTGGCCGATGAGTTAGCAGTCAAAGTCCTACATTGTTAAAGTTGTTCTTGCATAGACTTGTATTACATGGGACGATGTGCAGGTCATCTTTTTTCCTTGTGTTGTATGAGTGTAATCCTGAGTTGGTTGTGAAATCATTCAAATTGGATTTTATCTATATTAGAGTTTCATATATGTACAAATATGGTAGAGGTAATATATGTAATGATTTGAAAATTTGTTTACAACTAGTCGTTTTTGGGATCTGGGTCATAGCTCTTATAGCTCTCTTCTGTAATTTAAAGATCAATTTTCATTTACCAATCTGCCCCAAAATATCAGTCCGTATGATAACAAAGATTGGAAATGAGCATAATATAACGTGCAGACAGTCTCCAATCCACTTACTCTTCTAACTACCCTTAGGCCAAAACATACTTTACATAAGTTGTTCGCTAGCTTTTGCATATGCATAGCCCATCTTAGATGCTTATCTAGCCAGACTCCCAGAAATTTTGAGTGATCTGTGTAGTTGATAACTGTGTCATAAATCTTTATTGAAGGGCATTCAAGTTTTTGAGGATGATGGAAAGCTTCTTGAGAAGGTGCCAATTGTGCAGCTACTCAAGAACTTCTCAGCATTTTATGGAACCCAAAGGTTCATTACCATGTTCATAAGAGCCCTCCAGCAGTCCCTATCCTGAATCAGATCAATCAAATCCATACCATCCTATCCTGTTTCTCTAAGATCCATTTTAATATTGTTTGCCCACCTACATCTTGGTAGTCCCAGTTGTCTCTTTCCTTCTGGCTTTCTCACTAGTATCCTATATGAATCTCTCTTTTCCCCAACCATGCTACATGCCCTGCTCATCTCACCCCCCCCATGACTTGATCATTCTAATTATACCTGGAGAAGCGTACAAGTTATGAAGCTCCTCATGCAGTTTTCTCCAACTATGTGTCACTTCATCTCTTCGGTCCAAATTTTCTACTCAACACCCTGCTCTCAAACACCCTCAGTCTATGTTCCTCCCTTAATGTCAGAAACTGAGTTTCACACCCATACAGAACCACAGGCAAAATTACAGTTTTGTATATTCTAATTTTTATGTTTTTAGACAGCAGACAGGAAGACAAAACGTTCTGGACTGAATGGTAGCAAGCATTACCCAAGTTCAGTCTCCTCTTAATTTCCTCCTGAATCAGGTTTTGATCTGTTATAGTCATTCCCAAATATCTGAACTGTGCCACATTTTCAAAATGTCTGTTTCCTATCTTTATATCCTGATAATTGCCATGCATTTTGGGGACAAGATACCAACATATACTTAGTTTTCTCTGTGTTTACTACTAGACCAGTTACCTATTAGCGTAAATCAAAGTTTGTGTGTTTCTCTTTATGGTATCTATAATATCACCTAGTAGATTCAGATCATCAGGATAGACCAACAGCTGATGTGCCCTATTTTATTTCAGTCCCACCTGATTTTCCTGGACCTTCCTAATGGCGTATTCTAAAGCAAAGTTGAATAGCAGTGGCAATGAGCTTCTCCTTCTTTTAACTTAATCCACTCATTATTAACTTTTATTTGTGATCATAATGTGGCCAGTCATGGTAGCAGATCGTTCGTTCTAAGGCATGCACTGTCTTCGCTTGCTTGAAAGTCGGGATCATCGGTTCGAATCCCACACAAGGCACGGATGTTTGGTGTGTGTATGCATTTATTCTATATTTGTGTTGTCCTGCGTTTAGGTAGAGGCCTTGCGATGAGATGATCACCTATTCAAGGACTCCTACTGTCTGTAAAAATGATCATGAAACTGAGAAATTAGTCCTATGCTCCAAAGGGGGAGAAGGAGGAGGAAAATAGAAAAATCGGAATGGGGTATTACACGTCGTGACCTCACTTTACTTCAGTTGGTTGGTTTAAAGTCCACTGTGAATCTTCTGCCTGGTGTAGCAATGTCATTTATGTTTTGTGATTGATCTTACAGATCCAGAGTTACTTCCATCAGGTGCCTAACATGGAGTTGAGGCTGAGCATTTTAAAAGCCTTAAATACACGTTCCCTAACACTAAAATTGTTTGTGGAGATGGTGTCTCATTTGCTGTTACATTTCTTCAGAAAGAATATTATAAATATGAGTAACTATGCAGATGAAATACCCCACCTGGCTAAGAGGCTTGGATATCCAGGCAGTGTCAAGAAATCCTGGCTAATTACAGGTTTGTTTCTTACAACTTTAATGGTAATTCAGGGTCACAGTATAACAAGTTGTCATCCCTGGAACCTGATATGATCCAGCTGAAACTAATTGCCACAACCATTTTTCTAATTTACATTCTTTGCTTCCTTTGCACAAAGAGAAGGCATGTATCGTAGGAGAACATGGATAGTGAGGTCCCATTTAAGATTTCTTTTGGGTACAGTTGCTTTGAGTACTCATCTGAGGATTTCTAAATTGGGGAAATATAACCCAGAGATTGTTGGCTTGGGATCATTGAAATTGAATTAACCCTTCAGTCCCGGGGGCATTTAAATCGTTTTTGCACTCCAGTGCCGGGGGCTATTTAAATAATTTAATCGGAGAATGCAGCACTTAACTTAAAGCTTAATAAACGGGGAAAAACTGGAGTTCTGTTTTTCAGATTTTCACACAACGTCAAGAGAAGTATATGGAATTAAAGTATTGACCCACACTACTTTAAAATTATTTTTGGGCCACTAAGCGTATAAAAATTATTAATTACCTTAAAAATTCAGCTATGTGTGGTAGTCGCGGAAACACTCAATGCTGCCCTCATTTCCAACAGCTTCAATCAAGGCACGATCATCTAACTTGCTTTCAGTGTGAAAATCCGTATCTGACAGACTTTGTTCGGAATCACTTTCAAGCAAATACTGTAAGTCCTCGTCGCTCAACACAGCTGAACGTCTCTTGCTTGTCCCAGCTATGGCTGCTACATGCAAGCTGCATTAGCTATGTGGAACAAACAGAACCTCAAGGAATGCAAACAAGGCATTTGTTTATCATATCTAACTGCTGTCATAACAGAGGTCAGTGTCACGTATCTTTCTTGTTAGGTTTTCTACACGTGGTTTCTCATTCCGTTCAAGAAGCAGCACTTGTCACTGGTGAATGGAAATCGATTTTTTTATCGACCAACACGCAGAGAGATCACAGACTTTCCTTCAACCAACACGCAAGGAGGTCACAGACTATAAACCTAGCATATTTAGTTCCTAACTCTCCAAGAGATGGAGACAGATTTGTATGGCAATACTGCAACCTAGACGGCAAGCTACGGAACTTCTTCAGAGACTTCTAATGTAAAAAAAAAATACCCCGGGAAGTTCAAAGTGGGATAACGAATGTACGAAATGATAGACAGAAATTTCCTCTTTCAATTTATAGCAAAAGTATTACTTTACATGAAAAGCAGCACAAGACGCATGACAGCGTCTCCCGGCGAGATGTGGCATTTAAATGCCGACGTGCTATGTACGTCGCCCGGCACTGGAAGGTTAAAATAGAGAGGAAACCTTGAACTGCAGAATACTAAATGGTTTCAGTACCATGAACTAATCATGATGCAGTGTATTAGCATGAGCAATAATGCAGATGTTTCTGTATGTGTTGGACTGTTCCGGTCATTCTTCTCCTTCCATCTAGATATTTTGAGAAGTTTTAAAACAGCTGAAGCTTTATATGTATGCTGTATAAAATAGAAACGTTGTAGAAAAATTTAGAACTGAATAATCCAAAAACAAGGAAAAGTCAAATGAACTACAGTGCGGTTGCACTTTATGCGAATTTGAAATGGTAAAGATAAAAGGTAAAGTCGTCCCTGTGCTTAACTACTTAAGCACTACACCATGAAAGTGTATGGGGGAGTGAGTGTATAGATCCATATTTTCTTGACCGTGGCACTAGTTGGAGATGTGTGGCCATCTTCACGCCCCGGCTGGTTTATCCCTGGGAAACGAGCCCCCAGTACACATTGGATAGGTTGGGGGAACCACAGAGGCGTTCTGGATAACATGGAGAAGATAAAATTCTTGACCCTACTGGGACTCGAACTTCGGCCACTTGGTTGTCCAGCCCTTAGCTAGTCACTATACTGAATATGCTATTCTGGCTCACTGGTGCGACATAGAAAATATTAACAAATTCTCACTTTATGCGCATAGTCTGAAATGAGGTAACTCCCAGAAGAAATCAGGAAGAATCATGTATGTGTTATTCCTATGACAAAAGTTGTCTTGAATTATGTGAGGTCTTCAAGAATGCCTCTTCACATAAAATACAAGTGCCCCATACTCTAGAGAGTATGTGGTGTATCCCGCGTGTAAGTTTTTTGAGCTTATGGCAGTAATTATGAGTAATCAGGCTGTGGTTTCTGGATGGTGATACTCTGCAGTCTTGTTGGTAGATAAAAGACTACGGAACCCTCAGCTGTAGACAGCATGTTCCTCTGAAATATCCTGTCCTTCCACAAGACTGCACGGTGTCACAGCCCAGAGCAACAATTGGAATATGATACAAAGTTCTGGAAACGATAAATTACATTTAGTTTTATTTTAATGCTCTTATATGAATGCACAGAAGCAAGTGAATCTGGCACTATAGTTAAACATAACAACATGCAATTACAGGTAGGTTCATCAACACAACACAACATGTGACATCGCATATTTTTTAATCAGCTACATGTTTTTGCCTGGGAGCTCTTCCCTAGGAGTAAAGTGGCCGGGGCGTGAAATTGACTGCTCACCTCCAGCTAGTGCTGAGGTCAAGAAAATGTGGATCTATACATCCACCCCACCAAATATTTTCATGGTGTGCTTAATTAGTTAAGCACAGGGACAACTTTTACTTTGTTTACTTTCTATGTGTTGGTTATAAAGGTCATCTACAAGCATTTTGTACACCCTATGTTAACTTCATACTAAATCTATTCATTGGTCAATATTTATATTGTCAGATTTTTTGTGCTGGCCTCGTTTCGAGTGTATTATGTGTTATGTTGATGTACCTACCCATAAATATATATCCAACACAACATGACTCAAATGCCTTATAATAATACACCTTTCCACGTGTAGTAAAATCCTCCCATCCATTTTGTCTGAAATTGATTTCTGTTCAGATTTATTTTGTTGTAATTTTTAACACATTGCGGACCGGTGGTTTAAACATTTAAATCACCCTGGGGACCGGCGTTTTTAAACCTACTACCCTAACTTGTACACCGTTCACTTTAAAAATTAATATAAAATCTCCTAATTAATTTTATGAACTGAAATTTTTGGAGAACACTTACCAGAGCTCCTAGAAGTGCTTGCGTGTGTGATATCTCTGGAAACATTCCCCTTTGTGAAGAGGCATTACACAGAAGTTGCACATGTAGGCAGTTCTACTCTTCTTCTTGTGCTTTGCGCACACACGGCACTGCCTAGGAGGGTGTTTCTTCTTGCAATATTCACTCTTCACAATTTTCACGAGAATATGTTTCCACATATCACCCGAGAATCGACCAGGGGGGTCTACTTGAGGCCTCCGGCGGGTGCGAACAGATGGCCCCGGCTGCACTACGTCTGTGTCTGACACAGGTACTGCCACCACCGTGATGTCAGTAGCCCAAACTTTTGCCAGTTTCAACAGAAATGCTTTGTATTTCAAAGCAGAATTTCTGTTCACCTTTTTGAAAACCGTAAATGAATTGAAATGCAAACACCACCATATCTGTTCAAATCTCTTACGACTCATGAGTTTGCCGAAAATTGCAATTTCTAAAAATGGGTCTTGACCAATAATCCTTCAAACTTTTTCTCTTCGTAAGCCCCATTAGAATGATTATACCCCCAAATTTTTTCATTTCTGTTGAAGCGACATCCACCCACTTCAAAACCTTATTGGTTTTGTCGTACGCCTCATGGTGTTGGAGATAGTATCTGTTAGTTTCCTGACACAACAGGTCAAAGAAACTATCTCCAAAAAACAGTGACGCAACTTCAGACACGTCCGTTGGGTCCGATGGCATCTGCTTCACCCCCGGATCACCAGTAAACTTTCCCAAAGTGGGGGTTTTGTCCACTTTATCCCATGTAGCTGTCCCGACACTCGCACTTTCAACGGAGCTCTCACTTTCACTTGACACATTTTGGGCAGCCCTGTGGCCCCCGTCACTGTTACTGTCACTGATAATGGCCTCGCTATCAGAAGACGAAGCAGTTGGCAAATCTGATAGCTCATCGGAGAACATATCTAATATTTTCTGTCTTCTGAGAGATTGCAACTGCTTTCGTCTCTGAGCCATGTTGAACTGGTAGCTGCGTGGTTCATACGTGCAAGCTTGGATTAGAACAAAGCCAATTTTGTTTAGGTTGTGACAGGAAATGACTCTGGTCGAGTTACTAGATAAGGCAGCAATCATTCCCGAGGTCATCTATGCAGTAGTTACGATTCAACGAAGCCACGCAGCGATATATAGCGTTTTGCAACATAACGTGACCGTAGAGGGCCATATGGCCCAACCGGTCCGCAACGCTTGGAAACGTAGAGGGCCATATGGCCCGTCTCCGGTCCGCAATGTGTTAATATATCAGTGGGAGAATAATATTAAGATGAATCTGAAGGAAATAGGATCGGGTGGTATTGACTGGATTAATCTGGCTCAGGAACATGGTAATTGACCTTTGGGTTTTGTAAATGTTGGGAAATTCTTGAGTAGCTGAATGATGGACAGATTTTTAAGAAAAGCTCCATGCAGTTCCTTATTTAGTTAGTGAATCTTAATTGTAACATGTACCAAGCCTCCAGTTACTCTTATGGAATATATTTGATCTTAGTTGGTTTTTAGTGCCACCAAGTCTGGTCTGTTCGACCTTCTGGCTGGTAGGCCTTGCTGTAAAATTTGTTTGAGGTGAGGTATCCTAAGTGTAGATTTTATTCTGCCACTGCAGTGATTGAATGATCACAAGAATGATGGTCAGTAGAGAAGATGTACAATTTAACAAGGGGTTTCACCCTCAGTGGTGAAGGGGAAATAGTGTTCTTCACATACCCAGTGTTTTATCTTTGGTAGAGGTTAAGGTTTCAAGCCTGTTCTTCCATTGATATTCCCTCTTATGTGCATTGTCTATCAATTTATGAGCAGAGAAACACATCACGCATCTTTGTTTTTGATTACTTACAGCAGTTTTCATTGTTTCTAGCAAACTCATCTCACTCATGGCCAAATGTCATTGGTTTTCTCTCCTGGCTGGTAGATTTGGTTGGAAGTTGCAGCTACGAGAAGCTCAGAACAATAATGTTCGCTCCTGAAGATGGTGAAGACATACCTGAAAACATTCTTGATGCACAGGTGCTTGTTTTTTATATATATATATATATATATATATATATAATGAACTGCCTTCACCCGCTCAAACACTAGAGTCTTGGGTTCGAATCCCACTCGAGGCATGGATGTTTGNGATGTTTTATATGAAATAAGTACATATTAAGAAACTAAAGGTTGTACTCATTAGATCTGAAGGTCTCGCAGCTGTGACTGAAGAGTATTATCCTACCTACCTACCGCTTGGTGCTACAGCCCTGGGTGAGCCTTGGCCTCCTCTACAACCAATGCATGCTGCCATAGGAATGGACCCATGCATGATGATGAGGCTGGTTGTTAGGTTTCTGAACAAAATTCTTTTTACGGGATGAGGTTGTGAGCCTCATGCCCAACCCCCAGCCTGGAAGACCAGGTATCTCTCTTAGTTTTGACTCTACTCTGTGATCTTTCCGGAACCCTGAAGATGAAGGCCCCTCCCAAGAAGTAACTGTTAAATGGAAACCTGTCTGAAACAGAGCAAGAAAATGATTAGGTCTCTTTGAAATCCATTAAAAATTAAATTTAATATGTAATTGGCAGTTCCTTCCACAAAAAGCTTGAATATTAATTATTTAAATACCTACCTTAGCATTGGGGCATGAGGTAGTGTAGTTGGTTGAGGCACTGTGCTACAAGCCAGTAGGTTGCAAATTTTATTCCTAATGAGTTCATTTAATTTTTCAATTAACCTAATCCTTCCAGCTGCACTGTGACCGGGAGGTTGACTCAGCATCTAACAGAAATGAGTATCAGTGATATTCTTGGAATATTCTTGGTGGTAAAGGGTGGCCAGAGCATAAGGCTGACAACCTCACCACCATCTATGAGCTGATTGTCTAGATAATGTGGGAGCCTCAACGTTTCACAACCCTATGGGCCTCCACAGCTTGTTACAGGGATAACATTACCTTATACTTAGCAAAGATCAGTTTGAAGTTTTTCGTATTTTGTTTCAGAGTAAATTGTAGTTGCTTCAGTGTAGATGGGCAGTAGTAATAAATATTTGTCTTCAAAATTTAAACAGGAATATTATGAATTGCTAACTGTTTTCACCCCTGCAAATTTGACAAGGTGAGTGTGTTCCTTGTACAGGGTGTACTATTTAAAATGCAGACAAAATGACATTGACATATTACAGTATAGACATGAAATCTGAAGATGTTTCAGTTTGTGTAATGGACTCTCTCCACTTCCCTTGTGACACTTGAGTCTCTGTCCCCCTGGTTTCTAGGCTGATGCTAGTACCGGTTGTGAGTGTGATGTATTCACAAGCAGAACTTGTGTTGCTGTATGTTCAGCATTTGGCAGTGCACACCCTGGCAAGGAAGCATGGAATGAGACAATATTTGTCACTTGTAAGCTTGCATGTTCGGTTGTAGTTTAAGTTTGTTTTAAATTGTACATTCTGTAATATAGTGTCTCACATGTTGCAGACAATGTTCTCCTACTATATCAAGTGTCATGACCTCTTTAACAAGGGGGCAAGTCAGGAAAATATGGCCACTGAAGACAGTCAGCTAATCCAGGAGATGGTGAAGAAACTTAGTATCAGTGATAAAGATTTTGAATGCATTACAAAGGAAATTGAAAACATGAAAGGACAACTGGAGGATCCAGAAGAAGTAGCTGCGCAAAGAGAAATGAGAGAATTAGAAACCATAGCTGCAAGTTTACAGAATGATGTAAAGAAACAACAGGATTGTGTTCAGAAAAAGGATGCTTATAGGAACGAATTACAGGACAATATTGCAAAGCTGTCATCTAACAATGACATGCTGAAAGCACACACTGAGAAAGTACGTGCAGACATTTTGAGAATGTTGCATATTGTGGATAGTCAGAGCATAACTGTTGAGGACAAGAAACAAATTGAAACTGAGTGCAGACAGCTGGAGGAAACCATACAGATGAACCAGGCTTGCTGTGATGCCTGGTCAAAGACCATGTATGCGGATGATCTGAAGATAGCAAAAGTGAAAAATGAGTTGAAAAGCAGGTGTATTGCATATAACACTTCCATCATGGAATACAGTAATGCTCTTTCAGGTTTAGACTGCTTCAAAATGCAGATGACCTTTCTGCACAGAGATGCTGATCTCTTCATGCAGGTAAGTGCAAAGATTGCCACATAGCAGATATTTGGCTCTCAATTCTTTTAAATTTTTTGGATGTTGTATCTTCCAGCTAAGATTTCTTTATGGCTTTCCTTATTCCCTGTCCAGCATCCATTATAAAATGATTTATGTTAGAATTTCCTCCCCCCCCCCTACCTTGGGAAATCATTCAAATGAATTTAAGCCCTGGTTGGAGATTAATCTGTTCATCACCACTGCGAAAAGCCTCAAGTCCCACCCAGCCTCATATCAAGTGATTACTAGTGACTGCATGAGCATAGTGAGACTATGGTAAGAATTTTTCATGGGGTTTTTGTCATATAATGCTGATGTCTATTGGGCATGAAGATTGGTCTTCACATCCCCTAAATGTCTACGTAGTATGTTGCTTGGGGAATCATAGCATCATCGTCTTACTTCAGAATGGTTCTGACGATGGTGTATAATACTCAGGATTACAGAGTTTCTGGACTTCGTCGAGCATTTAATATTCTAAGGGAATGCAATGTTTTGGAGTATTAGACAATGGACAAAGTTTAGAAACTTGATAATCCCACGTTCATCTTTGCTTGTCCTTTAACATATGGTTATAATGTAACCCTACAAGGTATCCAGAATTAAGAATAAATGTATAAATCGTTTAATACAGAACACTTCCAATGTACGCAATGAAGGCAGGTGAAGTGTTGCCTGATACATTTACTTCCATATTATATCAATTCTGTTGGGAGAAATGAAATATTTTGTTCATGATCACTTCTAACAAGAGCTTTGTTTCTTTCTTAGAAAATCATTAATCAGATGGAGAGCTTTAGGACAGACTTGAAGACGAAGTTGAATGAAATGGAAGCTCAGTTAGAGGAACAGGAAGAATCAGCCACAGAAATGAATGAATGCAAGTTTGCAGCTACTGAAGAGTACAAGAATTATATGCGAATTGTAGAGGATTTGAAGACAGAGATGATTAACATGAAGGAGAAAGTGAAGCAGGAAGAACAAATACTGAAGTGCAACCTGAAGAAGGGGCAGGAAGAGTGTGCAAGACTTGTTACGATGATTCCATTGATTCAAGAAGAAGAAAAGAAATGGGAAGATGGGAAAGAGAAAGTTAGATTGGTTGAAGCTCATATTTTGGATGCCGGTGAACGAGCCAAGACCTTCTTTGTGGAGTATGATGCCATGTACGAGGATGTCATTCAAAAGTTGAAAGATCAAATGAGCCGTCTCATAGAAACTTTGGAACATGAACCCAGTGAATGAGCAAATACAGTTACAAAGGTTTTTTGGCAGTGACTATGAAGAATATTATATTCTGGAATGTGACACCCAGTGATCTGATAGAAGTATGCTGAGGCATCAGCAGGAAACTTGTGCTGGTAGATAGCATACTTCAAAGTTTGAACATTATGTCCCCTCCTCCCCCTTTGTGGGTTCTACTTTTTGACATCATATTGTAATGTGTCATTGCTTCTTGATAATTCTTTTGAACACTCACCTGAATGTTTAGTCAAATTACTTCTTATAAAGATATTCTGCTGAATTCACCAATGTGATGTATACATTAAGATGTTATCTCTTTCTGGAAACTTGGTAGATATTTCACAGACTGGTGAATTTCTGTTCAATATATTTTATATTATTAATCCCTTATCACTTAAAATAACTCATGTGAATGGTATATTATATTAAAACAAGAAGTTCTGGAAAGAATTCGATGGTTTAATCCATGTGGTGAGAGTAGCAGGAACTGTAAATTAGTAATTTCAAATTGTAATGATCCATTTCTGTGCATAAGTCCATCTGCTCTATAAATCATACCTTGTGTAACAATAATACAGAAGAGAAGTCGTGCGTGATGTATGTTGAAAAATAGAATCTAGTAACAGTTTGCATTAGTAACTGACATGGTGTGCCCTTGTTCCCATAGCAGCTGGAGTATAGTACAGAATCTGTGTTAAATTTAGCAGCTGTAACCTCAAGTTTCACACAGTCAGCATATTTATAATTATTAACCATTCAGTGCTGTCCTCAGTGTGGCGTACGATTTCTTAGTGCCTCACATGCTGACGGCCTCTGTACTCTGTACTTACCTGTGTAGCGGTTCTTTAAATTCGCTGTCCCACTGGGAGTTTTGTAGATATCACAATCCCATCACTTTATGCTCAAAGGAAGGACATGATGCTTTCAGCTCATGTACAATTATACATTGATCTCTAATTTTTAATGCCTCTTGATGCTACTGAGATATAGATAACTTTTCTGAAAAGTATACCTTGTGAGTTTTTTGTGCAGTGCAGTACGTAGTTTCTTCTGTAGTTTAGTCATTACACTAAGAGTTCTGAAGTGTTATGACTTCCTTAGTCATGTGTAATGTAAATGCATATGGGAGACACCTGTTATAAAATTCAGGGTGAATGTAAATTATTGTAGGGGTTTCTGTGGCTTGTAATTTTCAAACCAGAAGCAACAGAATAAAACTACTTAAAGTGTAACAGAAAAGCTTAATTACCTGTAGAATCAATACTGCAGAATGTACATCAGATGTCCAAGCGATATTCAATTTCCCTCAAAGTGTTCTCCAATATTTGCAGTGTCATGGTTTCGATTGCAGCAACAATTCTGAGCTTCAGTTCATTGAGAGAGGTCACAAGGGTTTTGTAAACAATGTCCTTAACTTCTCACCACAGGAAGAAATCAAGCAGCTTAATACTGGGTGAGTGTGAAGGCCACGGAATTGTTCCATCACACCCAACCCAGCGCCAAGGCAAATGCATGTCAAGAAATTCCTGGGCAATATGGCCCAATGTGTGGGGGTGCACCATCTTGCTGGAGCATCATATTTGGTTGATGGTTTTCCAGCTGGTGTAACAGATACAACTGTAGCATGTTGAGGTAGGTCATTACTGTCACTGTTTGTTCTGCAAAGACAAAGGGCCCCGAAACTTCCGTATATGAAAAGCACACCAGACATTCACCTTTGCACTATCTCTTTTGATTTCCTGAATGGAGCGAGGGTTTTCTGATCCCCATATGCTGCAGTAATGACAATTTAACCTCCCTGATTCATAAAGCGTTACTACATCACTGAATATACATGGTGTATTCCATATATAATGCCTCCTATTTTTTTGTGTTAATATGTAACATCTGAGCTGGATGTTGGTGGTGTTGTAGTAAAGGTTGAACCTTCCCGCCAATGTACTGTTAATTTGGTTGTCGTGCGACAGATAGCGACAGCAGAGCAGTCTACCAAAGTGGCGTCTGACATAGAAGTGCGTACAAAACAGAGATGTGTTATTGAATTTCTCACTGCCGAACAGATTGCAGCCATTGACATCCATCGACGCTTGCTAAAGGTGTACGGAGATGATACAGTTGATGTCAGCACAGTGAGGCGGTGGGTAGTGCGTTTCAACAGTGGCGAAAGTGAAGAGCACGACAAGCCACGCCCTGGGCGTCCCTGCTCATGCACTACTCCTCACAATGAACAGCGCCTCGATCAGCTCATCCATTCAGATCGGCGGATAACGACCAGGGAACTGTGTGCATGGCTTAATATAGGCTGTAATGCATTGGAAACGATGTTGGGGAAGCTGGATTATCGCAAAGTTTGTTCCAGGTGGTTCCCGCGGATGCTTACACAGGACCACAAAACTCATCGAATGGAAGTCTGTCAGGACCTGTTGCACCAGTTTGAAGCTGAAGGTGACAAGTTTCTGGACAGCACTGTCACCGGAGATGAGATGTGATGTCACCACTACGAGCCGGAATCCAAAAGACAGTCCATGGAGTGGTGACATCCGGATTCCCCAAGAAAAAAGAAATTCAAGACACAGCCATCAGTAGGGAAAGTGATGTGCACGGTCTTTTGGGATAGGCGGGGTGTGATTTTTTTGGATTTCGTGGAGCCTGGTGAGTCTGTCAATTCTGAACGCTACAAGACGATGCTGACTAAGCTGAAAGCCTGTATTTCCCGAGTCAGGCCAGAGAAGCAGACAACCTTTCGCTTGCAACACGATAACGCTAGACCCCATACCAG